TACAGCTCTGGAAAAAATTAAGAGACCACTGCAAAAATTTACGTTTCTCTGGTTTACTATTTATAGGTACAGTGGGGAGAACAAGTATTTGATACACTGCCGATTTTTTGCAGGTTTTCCTACTTACAAAGAATGTAGAGGTCTGTAATTTTAATCATAGGTACACTTCAACTGTGAGAGACGGAATCTAAAACAAAAATCCAGAAAATCACATTGTATGACTTTTAAGTAATTAATTTGCATTTTATTGCATGACATAAGTATTTGATCACCTACCAACCAGTAAGAATTCCAGCTCTCACAGACCTGTTAGTTTTTCTTTAAGAAGCCCTCCTGTTCTCCACTCATTACCTATATTAACTGCACCTGTTTGAACTCGTTACCTGTATAAAAGACACCTGTCCACACACTCAATCAAACAGACTCCAACCTCTCCACAATGGCCAAGACCAGAGAGCTGTGTAAGGACATCAGGGATAAAATTGCAGACCTGCACAAGAATGGGATGGGCTACAGGACAATAGGCAAGCAGCTTGGTGAGAAGGCAACAACTGTTGGCGCAATTATTAGAAAATGGAAGAAGTTCAAGATGACGGTCAATCACCCTCGGTCTGGGGCTCCATGCAAGATCTCACCTCGTGGGGCATCAATGATCATGAGGAAGGTGAGGGATCAGCCCAGAACTACACGGCAGGACCTGGTCAATGACCTGAAGAGAGCTGGGACCACAGACTCAAAGAAAACCATTAGTAACACACTACGCCGTCATGGATTCAAATCCTGCAGCGCACGCAAGGTCCCCTTGCTCAAGTCAGCACATGTCCAGGCCCGTCTGAAGTTTGCCAATGACCATCTGGATGATCCAGAGGAGGAATGGGAGAAGGTCATGTGGTCTGATGAGACAAAAATATAGCTTTTTGGTCTAAACTCCACTCGCCGTGTTTGGAGGAAGAAGAAGGATGAGTACAACCCCAAGAACACCATCCCAACCGTGAAGCATGGAGGTGGAAAACATCATTCTTTGGGGATGCTTTTCTGCAAAGGGGACAGGACGACTGCACCGTATTGAGGGGAGGATGGATGGGGCCATGTATCGCGAGATCTTGGCCAACAACCTCCTTCCCTCAGTAAGAGCATTGAAGATGGGTCGTGGCTGGGTCTTCCAGCATGACAACGACCCGAAACACACAGCCAGGGCAACTAAGGAGTGGCTCCGTAAGAAGCATCTCAAGGTCCTGGAGTGGCCTAGCCAGTCTCCAGACCTGAACCCAATAGAAAATCTTTGTAGGGAGCTGAAAGTCCGTATTGCTTAGCGACAGCCCCGAAACCTGAAGGATCTGGAGAAGGTCTGTATGGAGGAGTGGGCCAAAATCCCTGCTGCAGTGTGTGCAAACCTGGTCAAGACCTACAGGAAACGTATGATCTCTGTAATTGCAAACAAAGGTTTCTATACCAAATATTAAGTTCTGCTTTTCTGATGTATCAAATACTTATGTCATGCAATAAAATGCCAATTAATTACTTAAAAATCTTACAATGTGATTTTCTGGATTTTTGTTTTAGATTCTGTCTCACAGTTGAAGTGTATCTATGATAAGAATTACAGACCTCTACATGCTTTGTAAGTAGGAAAACCTGCAAAATCGGCAGTGTATCAAATACTTGTTCTCCCCACTGTATGTGTTTGGGTGAAATTAACATTTTTGTTTTATTCTATAAACTACTGACAACATTTATCCCAAATTCCAAATAAAAATATTGTCATTTAGAGCATTTATTTGCAGAAAATGAAAACTGGTCAAAATAACAAAAAAGATGCAGTGTTGTTAGACCTCGAATAATGCAAATAAAATAAGTTCATGTTCATTTTTAAACAACATAATACTAATGTTTTAACTTAGGAAGAGTTCAGAAATCAACATTTGGTGGAATAACCCTGATTTTCAATCACAGCTTTCATGCGTCTTGGAATGCTCTCCACCAGTCTTTCACATTGATGTTGGGTGACTTTATGCCACTCCTGGCGCAAAAATTCAAGCAGCTCGGCTTTGTTTGATGGCTTGTGACCATCCATCTTCCTCTTGATCACATTCCAGAAATTTTCAATGGGGTTCAGGTCTGGAGATTGGGCTGGCCATGACAGGGTCTTGATCTGGTGGTCCTCCATCCACACCTTGATTGACCTGGCTGTGTGGCATGGCGCATTGTCCTGCTGGAAAAACCAATCCTCAGAGTTGGGGAACAATGTCAGAGCAAAAGGAAGCAAGTTTTCTTCCAGGACAACCTTGTACGTGGCTTGATTCATGCGTCCTTCACAAAGAGAAATCTGCCCGATTCCAGCCTTGCTGAAGGACCCCCAGATCATCACCGATCCTCCACCAAATTTCACAGTGGGTGCGAGACACTGTGGCTTGTAGGCCTCTCCAGGTCTCCGTCTAACCATTAGACGACCAGGTGTTGGGCAAAGCTGAACATTGGACTCATCAGAGAAGATGACCTTACTCCAGTCCTCTACGGTCCAATCCTTATGGTCTTTTGCAAACCTCAGCATGGCTCTTCTTTGCTTCTCATTGATGAAGGGCTTTTTTCTAGCTTTGCACGACTTCAGCCCTGCCCCTAGGAGCCTGTTTCGAGCCGCCCTCGCCGTGCACTTCACCTCAGCTGCCGTTTGCCATTCTTTTTGTAGGTCACTTGATGTCATCCTACAGTTGTTGAGTAATATTTTAATAAGTTGGCGGTCATCTCGGTCAGTAGAGAGTCGTTTTCGCCCTCTGCCGGTCTGTAGCTTTGTTGTCCCCAATGTCTGCTGCTTGACCTTGTTCTTATGAACCGCCGTCTTTGAAATCTTAAGGATGGAAGAAACCTGACGCTCACTGTATCCCTCTGCCAGTAAAGCCAGAATTGAAACCTTCTTTTTCTCACTCAAAACTTTCCTTTTCAACTCTTTTGGCATGGTCAATAGTTATTTTTTGATTAATACTACTTTTGAGGTACTATTAGCACTGTTTTTGCCATCCAGCTGGTCCTATTGCAAGAGGATAGTGATGACCACAGCAGTGGTTTTTATACTTTCCCTCGTTAAATAAGATTTGGTTCAGGTGATCACCTAATCAGTACCTAATTCAGTAGAATGAGGTGTGCCTGTGTTGGAATTCAACAGACACTGGAATGGAATGGCTGTCATACATGTAGAGATGCTGATTTAAGAAACATTTGCAGTGGTCTCTTAATTTTATCCAGACCTGTGTGTGTGTGTGTGTGTGTGTGTGTGTGTGTGTGTGTGTGTGTGTGTGTGTGTGTGTGTGTGTGTGTATATATATATATATACAGTGAGGAGAACAAGTATTTGATACTGCCGATTTTGCAGGTTTTCCTACTTACAAAGCATGTAGAGGTCTGTAATTTTTATCACAGGTACACTTCAACTGTGAGAGACGGAATGTAAAACAAAAATCCAGAAAATCACATTGTATGATTTTTAAGAAAATAATTTGCATTTTATTGCATGACTTAAGTATTTGATACATCAGAAAAGCAGAACTTAATATTTGGTACAGAAACCTTTGTTTGCAATTACAGAGATCATACGTTTCCTGTAGGTCTTGACCAGGTTTGCACACACTGGAGCAGGGATTTTGGCCCACTCCTCCATACAGATCTTCTCCAGATCCTTCAGGTTTCGGGGCTGTCGCTGGGCAATACAGACTTTCAGCTCCCTCCAAAGATTTTCTATTGGGTTCAGGTCTGGAGACTGGCTAGGCCACTCCAGGACCTTGAGATCCTTCTTACGGAGCCACTCCTTAGTTGCCCTGGCTTCATCCTCTGGATCATCCAGATGGTCATTGGCAAACTTCAGACGGGCCTGGACATGCGCTGGCTTGAGCAGGGGGACCTTGCGTGCGCTGCAGGATTTGAATCCATGACGGCGTAGTGTGTTATTAATGGTTTTCTTTGAGACTGTGGTCCCAGCTCTCTTCAGGTCATTGACCAGGTCCTGCCGTGTAGTTCTGGGCTGATCCCTCACCTTCCACATGATCATTGATGCCCCACGAGGTGAGATCTTGCATGGAGCCCCAGACCGAGGATGATTGACCGTCATCTTGAACTTCTTCTATTTTCTAATAATTGTGCCAACAGTTGTTGCCTTCTCACCAAGCTGCTTGCCTATTGTCCTGTAGCCCATCCCAACCTTGTGCAGGTCTACAATTTTATCCCTGATGTCATTGTGGAGAGGTTGGAGTCTGTTTGATTGAGTGTGTGGACAGGTGTCTTTTATACAGGTAACGAGTTCAAACAGGTGCAGTTAATACAGGTAATGAGTGGAGAACAGGAGGGCTTCTTAAAGAAAAACTAACAGGTCTGTGAGAGCCGGAATTCTTACTGGTTGGTAGGTGATCAAATACTTATGTCATGCAATAAAATGCAAATTAATTACTTAAAAATCATACAATGTGATTTTCTGGATTTTTGCTTTAGATTCCGTCTCTCACAGTTGATGTGTACCTATGATAAAAAATTACAGACCTCTACATGCTTTGTAAGTAGGAAAACCTTCAAAATCGGCAGTGTATCAAATACTTGTTCTCCCCACTGTATGTGTATGTGATTGTATACAATTGTAAGCAAGATTTTAAATTATTATGTTTTAGTAAAATGTTATATCTGTTTGGGCTTCTTGCAGTCAATTTGCAATCTTCAAATTATTTGTAATTATGTTCCGGCCCCCTGACCATCCGCTCAAGAAAATCTGCCCGCGGCTGAATCTAGTTGATGATCCCTGCTATAGAGTCTTCTCCATATGGGAGACTGGGAGCCATATTACGTACTTATGGGCTCAAGAGGGTAGAAAACAGGGAAAACATGTGTTATATTTCAGACTGAGCAAAGGTTAAATAGGGCACCAGTGCTGCTTTGATTTTTATTGGAAGTAGGTAATGGCAAGCCACACTAGTCGATACAGCAACAAGCGGAATTAACTGACACTCATTATGGGTACTTACAGCTGGAAGGAAGCCGTGGTCACTGTGGCCCACGCCTGTCATGGAGATGTTGTCCACATCATAAGAGCTCTGGAAGATACAAAATACATGATGTAGAGGTTGGTTCCTGCTATTATAATAAGTGACGAACTGTGAGTCACTTCAATGTGACACTCAATTAAATTCCAGTCACACAAAACACATTTGTTGTGTCACGTAAGTAAAGACGTTCTAATAATTGTAGGGATTCCTTATATTAAGAGGCAACACATAACAATTAAGCCTTCATTAATGATTTGATCTTGAATGGGCAGATATTGATAACAATCAGGCTTGAAAAGTCAGTGTTACAGTCCATTGTGAGGCTACACAACCCTTGCACAGTCTTCACATTTTGCTGCTTTAAAATATAATCTAAATTAAATTGATTCAATTTGATTTTTTCCCTACGGATCTACACAACCTACTCCACATTTTCAAAGTGAAAGAAAATTATAGAACATTTCCTAATTAATAAAAAATGAAGATGTCTTCACACCCCAGAGTTAATACTTGGTGGAAGCATTTTTGGCAGCCATTACAGCTGTGAATCATTTTGAATAAGATTCTACAAACTTGGTACAAGTCTTACGGCAACATATACTGTATCCATTGCTCAAGCTCAGTAAATTTGGTTTGGAATCCTTGATGGACAGCAATATTCAAACCATGTCTCTGATTTTCAAGCAATTCTACAGTGCATTCGGAAAGTATACAGACCCCTTGACTTTTTCCACATTTTGTTACGTTACAGCCTTATTCTAAAATTGATTGAATAAAAAAATGTCCTCATCAATCTACACACAATACCCCATAATGACAAAGCGAAAACAGGTTTTTAGAAATAAAAAACAGAAATACCTTATTTATATAAGTATTCAGACCCTTTGCTCAGGTGCATCCAGTTTCCATTGGTCATCCTTAAGATGTTTCTACAACTGGATTGGAGTCCACCTGTGGTAAATTCAATTGATTGGACAGGTCCCACAGTTGACAGTGCATGTCAGAGCAATAACCAAGCTATGAGGTCGAAGGAATTGTCCATAGAGCTCCGAGACAGGATTGTGCCGAGGCACAGGTCTGGGGAAGGGTACCAAAACATTTCTGCAGCATTGAAGGTCCCCAAGAACACAGTGGCCTCCATCATTCTTAAATGGAAGAAGTTTGGACCACCAAGACTCTTCCTAGAGCTGGCCGCCCGGGCCAAACTGAGCAATCGGGGGAGAAATGCCTTGGTCAGGGAGATGACCAAGAACCCGATGGTCACTCTGAATGAGCTCCAGAGTTCCTCTGTGGAGATGGGAGAACCTTCCAGAAGGACAAACATCTCTGCAGCACTCCACCAATCAGGCCTTTATGGTAGAATGGCCAGACGGAAGCCACTCCTCAGTAAAAGGCACATGACAGCCCGCTTGGAGTTTGCCAAAAGGCACCTAAAGGACGCTGACCATGAGAAACAAGATCCTCTGGTCTGATGAAACCAAGATTGAACTCTTTGGCCTGAATGCCAAGCATTATGTCTGGAGGAAACCTGGCATCATTTCTACGGTGAAGCATGGTGGTGGCAGCATCATGCTGTGGGGATGTTTTTCAGTGGCAGGGACAGGGAGACTAGTCAGGATCGAGGGAAAGATGAACGGAGCAAAGTACAGAGAGATCGTTGATGAAAACCTGCTCCAGAGCGCTCAGGACCTCAGACTGGGGCGAAGGTTCACCTTCCAACAGGACAAAGACCCTAAGCACACAGTCAAGATAACGCAGGAGTGGCTTCGGGACAAGTCTCTGAATGTCATTGAGTGGCCCAGCCAGAGCCCGGACTTGAACCCGATCGAACATCTCTGGAGAGACCTGAAAATAGCTGTGCAGCAACACTCCCCATCCAACCTGACAGAGCTTGAGAGGATCTGCAGAGAAGAATGGGAGAAACTCCTCATACAGGTGTGCCAAGCTTGTAGCGTCATACCCAAGAAGACTCGAGGCTGTAATCGCTGCCAAAGGTGCTTCAACAAAGTACTGAGTAAAGGGTCTGAATACTTATGTAAATGTCATATTTCTATGTTTAATTTTTAATACATTTGCTATAGAAAAAACAAAAAACGTTTTGCTTTGTCATTATGGGGTATTGTGTGTAGAATAAGGCTGTAATGTAACAATGTGGAATAAGTCAAGGGGTCTGAATACTTTCAGAATGCACTGTATATCTATGATCCAAATGACCAGTTACAAATAACCCAAGTACCAGAACTACTACTGCTCGTTAGCACTTGGTTCCCATAGTACCGTAAATTTGTCAAGAGACTATCAGGCATGCTATCCTATCTGACCCAAATATTGACCTAGAATCTATAGGAGGTCCACTTAGGTCACTGTTCTCATTTAACTAACGCTTTGGGTGGTCAAACCACTGAATACTGTTATACTGTGGCTTCAACCCAGATGAAAGCCAGCTAAAGTTTATTCTACTTTTCAGAGTGAGTGAACAAGGGCAAATACACTAAAGGGGGACATTTAATTAACAGTGAAAACGAACCTCTATCAATTAAGATTATAATTGCATCACAATATGTTGTAAAGAGATTTAAGACACAAAATACTACTTTTCTTTGTCATGAACCCTGATAACACCCATCAGCTATCTCTATATACCCGCTTTACAGAAATATGTCTGCTGACCCCTATGCGATTGCTCATACATTTTAAAAAGAGATTCTTATCCTCCGATACAGATTGCCTCTACAAGTACTGTGCTCCATAGAGTGCTCCATACCACAGTTAGTAAAACACTGCCTTAGCAGGTGACATCACATTTTAAATAATAACACTGAAAGACACCATAAAGATGAACACACGTTTCAAACATGTCATAATTCGATTAGACATCTATGGTACTGCAAAGCCCTCCTAAAGCTTCCTCCCTGGAGTGCCCCTGCTCTGCCGTGGATTCATCTTACCATCCTGTCTGTAACGAGGTGCCAGATTAGTTTAGGAGCCATGCGATTGGCTGACACAAATCCAGGGGTGCTTTCCAGGCCAAAAGTTGGTTTAATAGATTTGTTGCGGATTACACAGAAGAATCCTTTATGATGGAAATGTGTACTTAGTTCTTGCCTAATTCTCCTACGAGTCTTATTGCATTACAGTACAGCAAGTGTGTTACTGTATGATTAGGTGCTTCTCAGGTAGAGCCACTGAATGTTAGGGACCATTGGTGGCATTAATGTGTATTGATGTTGGGAGATGAGCACATAAGTGCAAGTGAGAAAAAAAATTAACCCGATGTTGACTTACTTACTGACCTTTACTGTGTTAGACATGTGTTAGACACGCATTCACACTGTTCTGCCTTTAGAGCCCAAAATATCCTCCACACATTCAGTACATTGTCACACATGTGGAAGGGGACAGGGAACAGGCTTGACCTGACCTTGCCTTGATGTGTTAGTTACCTTCTCAAAGATGCCAGAGTCGTGGCCCTTCATCTTGGACTTGGAGCTGGAGCTGGAGGGCTTGAAGTGTGGGAGCTCGGCTGTGTCCTTATTGATATCACAGGACACCTGGCGGCTAGCCGGCCAGGAGCCCATACTGGAGAGGTCAGCCTCAGTATCTGTCCAGCCCTGGGGGGGAAGGAACCATTACATAAACGTCAGACAGACAGTCAAGCAGACAGACAGAAACAGACACACACACGCAGGCACACACACACACCCATCTCATGATTTTATATCAGGACATATTTATCCATACCGATTCGCTGTCGGAGGCGGAGGAGAGGCGGGACTTGACAGTGCTGGTGCGGTGTAAGCGGTCGCCGATGTCGGAGGTCTGGCTGGTGACAGTGGATCGTCGGGTGGACATGAAGCTGTGATTGGTGAATCGCAGGTCGCGTCTACGTACACACAGCAAAAACCCCAGGCACGGGATGTACTTGGCTATGGCCATCCTGAAGACCGAGAGTGCAGGGGGCAAACTTAGGAGATGTAGGTCCAGAGGCTAACTGATATATTTCCTCTAGCATCAGACAGAAAGGCAATGTACTACAGTACTAAGCTACACCATAGGCAGTCTGATGGGACAGAACATGGCAGGGACTTGGCCTGATGTATCATGTCAGAGGAAACAATCTAGGTGCCCTATACTGTTTATTAACCCTTGGCATCCTTCCTGTGTGGTGAGAATAAAATAATGTCCAGTTGAGTTAACATCCAGGTTAATGAGTGATTGTAGAGAGGAAAGTTTAGTCTGATCTAGTGTTGCACGGTGTATCAAAACAATGGTACTTTTTAGATACTATAACATGAAAAACAGTCCAGTATTATAATTTGTTACTTTCGGATCTTCTATCAAATGTGTCTCATGTTTGGAAATCAATTTAATGTATTGAACTTGTTCGAAAATGTATTAAGTTTATGGTCTTGCTTTAAATGACGTTCAGCTTATAAAGGCTTCATAATGCCTTCATAAGCACTACATAAATGTGTTAAAGTATCTATAACCGTATGTCATGCTTTATAAAGGGTTCATAAATGTGGCATAAATGTGTGACATAACCTACTATGTCGAATATGATATAAACGTGCTTTATAAAGGGTGACATGTTGGGTCGAAGGATTGGAATACGCTCTAAAGTGAAGTCATGTTAGTCACATTACACCTAATCTCGTTCCAAGACACTTCCGGCCAAATGTGCTGAAGGTCTGGTGGACCAACGCATCAAACTTGGCCTTCATTAGTTAGGGTTAGGTTTAAAGTCAGTAAGGTCCCTCTTATAGAATTATATGGTCACTCCCACCAAGGCCAACTTTGAATGGTTGATATACTAGGCTTCTATGTGCTGTGTGTTCAATAGCCAGGTGGACGTCATTACACCACAAAACCCTTGCCTTGATGAAAGCCCCCAACCTAGGGACATTTTAAGTGGTTTTCTTTTGGAACCAAGTTACATGTTCCTCAGTACACAAACACGCACACAACAAAAACGAGCCATAACATGTGGTGTTGGGATCATCAGATCTTTGACACATTCACCCACTCCCCCGCTGAAAGATCAGCCACAGAATGTTGGCTCCATTGCCCTGGTCTCCAGCATGGGAACAGAAGAGGATACCTGGTGCGGTGGTCTCAGGTTGGACTACTCCAAATCATCTTGGCTCCATCAACCCATTTAAATAGTTCTCACACCCTACAGTAACCTGTGGATCATGAGAGAACCTTCATAAATTAGCAGAACGTTAATAACCTATTTATTGGCACTTTATGTCGTTTCCTGTAATACTTATTTTGAAGTGAGACACCTTCGGTCATTCATAACACATCCATAAAGACGATATTGCATGAGGCTGGACTTAATTTAAAGTCGGGCACCTTCGGTCATTCATAACACATACATAAAGGCTTAATGACGTAAAAATAAATGTATTAACACTTAAGGAATTATCACTAACAGCTAAAACAAATAAACATTAAAGAAATGTTTAAACCATACATTTCCTTTTATTTTTATAACAATACAAATACATTCAGTTTCAAAAAGTCCAGCAATGCAATTACATTGAACATTACACAGGGCTGTGAATAGTGTAGCTTGTCCCTGAGCTGGCAGACGAATGGTTCTTGCCTCTCTGCCTGCTGGAGGTACTGCATGTTGGTTCCAACCTTAAAAGTAACAACAAAGAAAGTTAGCAGGTCTGTTAGGAAATGCCTTTGTCACACCATCTGGATAAGGGCATTTCTGTGCTGCGCCAGAAACTCTAAATGGGGAGATGGGAAAACTCCATTCAATTCGTATTATTATATTCCTCTTTCATTTACAAATCTCATGACGTGACTATGAGATGTGGATGTATCTAAGGGGATTTTTGTTTAGCTGAGCCTGCTAGCTAGCAACATTTCGGCTAGCTAGCAATTGCTGTGAAGTCACCGAAATAATTTAAAATAACGACTGAGGTAGCTACAGAATGTAATCTACAAACAAATTTAAATTACAATAAATAAAGGTTAACTTACTTATTTTTCGTTGTCCGGTTGGCACAACAATTGGGCATTTGATCTGCCAACTCATCACATGATCAGCGTCTCGTCAGCAACACTAAAAAAGTACTTCTGGGTCATGGAATTTCGAAAATGTTCAAACATTAACAATGATTCATATTTGAATTCAAATTGGGTTTAAAACATCGTCCAAGGGCATATAAATGCCACCAATGCGAATCACTGTATATGGAATGCATATTGGCTTATAGAGCAAAAACTATTCAGGGTGCCGCAGTAAAAGTATTGTAGGGAGTATTCAATAGGGTCTGTAGAATGTATATATGGTGTCATTTCATGGGGCTCTGAATAATATGGAGTGTTGCTGGCCTTTTACTCCACCCATTCCATTAGCGGCCACAATGCGAATTGAAGTTTCTTAGATTTTTCACAGACCTCGAAAGTAATCCCCGATGTGGTTTAAGCATTGTTGTGAACACAGAAAATCAAATGTTGTTGTTTCTCTATTAAAATAGTGTGGGGGAAAATTGTGGAAAATCTGAAAAAATTGGTGAAATTCGGAACCTGGAAAAACAAAACTGGGAAAATAGAATTTTGGATAGTAGGCAAAACATTTTAACAGATTTTAAAAGGCCTCACAAAGGTTTTTTGTTGTGCATGACTGCACTTTAGAGTGCGAGTCATCCTGCAGCACAGCATTTTGGGGAAAGTTGAGGTCAAGTCCAATATTGACTATGCACCCAAGAGGGAAAGAAGTTGGGCCATCCTAGAAATGTTTTAGAGTAATATATACAATTTAGTAGACACTTTTATCCAAAGTGACTTACAGCGATGCATGAATAAATGTTTACATATGGGTGGTCCCGGGAATCAAACCCACTATCCTGGCATTGCAATAAATACATTGCTTTGTGAAGCCTCAATTTAATATGATTTATAAGGCTTTTATTAAGCGGTGCTTATGCCACCCTTTATAAAGCACAGGTTTATGTCATATTTGACATAGTGGGTTATGTCACATTTGACATTGGTGGTTATGTCACACAGTTATGCCACATTTATGAACCCTTTATAACGTGTAAAGGAAATTTTCTTTGTGCATTTTCCACTACAAAAGCATGACATTTATAGATTATGTTTATGCAGACTTTATGAAGGCTGCATGAAGCCTTTATAAGCTGCACGTCATTTAAAGCGGGACCAAGTTGGGTCATAAGACATGACCAGAATGCATCAGTGATTCATATTTCCTTGCAACTTTCTGAAGTCTATGTGTGCGGTGTGCATATGTCTACCATTTTGTGTAGCCGTTAGCGATGCTAATGATAACCTTCAGGTAAGTCTTCAGAAACCTATTCAATATTAAAGTTATAGGTAGAGTCCTTGGTTGCTACATCCATTTTTGGACTGATAAATTAATGTTATATACCCAAAATGTAAACAAACACTATATAGCCTCAAAACATGATTAAAAGTATAATTTTGATATCATGGATGGTCAGTCCTTGCATCCATAGCTCTGTCTGTGAATTTGTGAGTGGTTAAATTTCTCCAGGCCCATCCCACAACTTTTTCCCAAAACAGACCCACTGGCAAAAATCTGGTTGAATCAATTTTGTTTCCACGTCAAAACATTATATGTGATGATGTTGAATCAACATGGAAAACTGATTGGATTTGCAAAAAGTCATCAAAGTAAGGGAATGTAAAAAAAACAAATTTCACCCAACTTTTAACCTACAGTAAATCCAATGACATGGTGAAAATGTTTCACGTTGAATTCACGTGAGTTGACAACTCAACCAAATGTAAATCAAAACTAGACGTTGAAATGACGTCTGTGTCCAGTGGGGAGGCGGGTGAATGCTTTGTTATTGTTTCAACTGCAGATTCTAGCCAAGTACAAAGTAACCTATGCCTACTGGGCAGAATCATGATTATTTGCATCAATCCAGTGTGTGTTTATTTTGCAACCTCCAACACGTGCGCTACAGAAACACCGCTAACCAAACAACAGTGCTAGCTAGGTGCGTGAGCACTTTGAATTAAAGGGTAACTACACTCAAATATCAACATTTCTTAGATTTTTCCCAGACCTCAAAAGTGATCTCCTGATGTAAGAATTGTTTGGACAATTCAATTGTGTATATATTTTTTTGTGATTTTGAGAGCGAAAAACTGGAAGATATCTGTTCTCTCCTCTATATTTTTTTGCTGTGGTATCGTTTTGGTATTGAGTATCGTGATACTAAACCTGGTATCGGTATCAAAGTAAAAATTCTGGTATCGTGACAACACTAGTCTGATCGCTAGCTGACGGGCTATACACTTCCTGTCTCTCAGATTTGATCGATTCTTATGGGATGAAATGGTTCACTTGGCTAGTATCACATTAGTGAAATTAAAACCAACAACAGAAAAGCCCTTTGACTTTGTTGCTCAACGGAATTCCCAAATGGGGTTGGGTTGCGTAAGCAGATTTGACCCATAATGCAACAATAGAAACCATCAACTTGAACTACAGTACCTGTACTTGGGGTGGGTGATGGCATAGATGATGGGGTTGTGAATGGCTGAAGCCTTGGCGATCACAGCAGGCACTGAGTTCATGTAGGGAGTCAGAAAATCTGCATACCTACAGGAGACATGAAGAGGACAGAGAGAGAAGGCTGTTTAGGCTTTAAGGTAGAATTATACAATACATAAAGTACCTAAATGGTCAAGGTTTGAATGTTGTGGCTGCAGCAATGCCGTGTTTGTATAGAAAGAATAGAAGTGGGTGTGTATTGTGTCTATATAGGGTAGTACAGTGCCTTGCAAAAGTATTCATCCCACTTGGCGTTTTTCCTATTTTGTTGCATTACAACCTGTAATTTAAATGGATTTTTATTTGGATTTCATGTAATGGACATACACAAAATAGTCCAAATTGGTGAAGTGAAATGAAAAAAATAACTTGTTTCAAAAAATTCTAAAAAATAAATAACGGAAAAGTGGTGCGTGCATATGTATTGACCCCCTTTGCTATGAAGCCCCTAAATAAAGATCTGGTGCAACCGATTTACCTTCAGAAGTCACATAATTAGTTAAATAAAGTCCACCTGTGTGCAATCTAAGTGTCACATGATCTCAGTATATATACACCTGTTCTGAAAGGCCCCAGAGTATGCAACACTACTAAGCAAGGGGCACCATCAAGCAAGTGGCACCATGAAGACCAAGGAGCTCTCCAAACAGGTCAGGACAAAGTTGTGGAGAAGTACAGATCAGGGTTGGGTTATAAAAAAATATCTGAAACTTTGAACATCCCACAGAGCACCATTAAATCTATTATTACAAAATGGAAAGAATATGGCACCACAACAAACATTTACATTTACATTTTAGTCATTTAGCAGACGCTCTTATCCAGAGCGACTTACAGTTAGTGTATACATTATTTTATTTTTTTCATACCCCATGTGGGAATCGAACCCACAACCCTGGCGTTGCAAACGCCATGCTCTATCAACTGAGCTACATCCCTGCCAAGAGAGGGCCGCCCACCAAAACTCACAGACCAGGCAAGGAGGGCATTAATCAAAGAGGCAACAAAGAGACCAAAGATAACCCTGAAGGAGCTGCAAAGCTCCACAGCAGAGATTGGAGTATCTGTCCATAGGACCCCTTTAAGACGTACACTCCACAGAGCTGGGCTTTACGGAAGAGTGGCCAGAAAAAAAGCCATTGCTTAATGAAAAAAATAAGCAAACACGTTTGGTGTTCGCCAAAAGGCATGTGGGAGACTCCCCAAACATATGGAAGAAGGTACTCTGGTCAGATGAGACTAAAATTGAACTTTTTGGCCATCAAGGAAAACGCCATGTCTGGCGCAAACCCAACACCTCAAATCACCCCGAGAACACCCTCCCCACAGTGAAGCATGGTGGTGACAGCATCATGCTGTGGGGATGTTTTTCATCAGCAGGGACTGGGAAACTGGTCAGAATTGAAGGAATGATGGATGGCGCTAAATACAGGGAAATTCTTGAAGGAAACCTGTTTCAGTCTTCCAGAGATTTGAGTTGGGGGGGGGGGGGGTGATAGTTATGCACGCTCAAGTGTTCTGTTTTTTTGTGTTATTTCTTGTTTGTTTCACAATAACAAATATTTTGCATCTTCAAAGTGGTAGGCATGTTGTGTAAATCAAATGATACAAACCCCCCAAAAAATCAATTTTAATTCCAGGTTGTAAGGCAACTGTAATGCGTCAGTGTGTAGCGGTAGGACGGAGTCAGGCGCAGGACACAGAACTTAGTCAACGACGTACTTTACTTGTCACAAGTAAATAAACATATCTTCCACGCAGGGAAGAAAATACCGACCCACATGTCAATGACAACAAAACAACGAACAATCACGCACAACACCCTGAGGGAACCAGAGGGTAAAATAGGGAAACAAATTATCGTAATTGGAATCAGGTGTGTGCAATATAGACAAAACAAGTAGAACACAGAAACATAGATCGGTGGCAGCTAGTACTCCGGTGACGACGAACGCCGAAGCCTACCCGAGCAAGGAGGAGGAGCAGCCTCGGCTGAATTCGTGACAGCAACAAAATAGGAAAAATGCCAAGGGGGGTGAATACTTTCGCAAGCCACTGTATATCGAAAGCACTCACCCTGCAAATGCGGTCAGGGCCACAGCGGAGTAGGGGCACCAAGAGATGACGTAGAGGAGGATGACAATAAGAGCGATCTTAGCCATCTTCCACTCATTCTTCAGCCGATGGAAACTCTTAATGGAGTCTCTGGTGCTCCCAGTGCCATTGATCTTGGTTACAGCCCTATGACACACACACACACAGAAAAAAAAAAGTTTAATTCAAGAAATTAGAAACGCTTTAGAGAATCCAATTGCAGTAACTTACCACACACTTACAATTTAATTTAATTTAATTTAATTTGACACTTCCAGTGACATCTCTAGAGCAGCTCTCTGGTATCCAATCCACTCACTTGTTAGTTGTACGTATGGCTCTGAAGATGAAGAAGTAGCAGTACATGATGACGATGAGGGGGATGAAGAAGACAAAGGTGAAGAGCAGCATGGTGTAGGCACGCACTGACGGGGTGAAGGTCACATAGTCCCATGTACAGGAGGTCAACAGGCCCTCTGGAACATAGGCGCCTAGGGGAGGGAGAGAGGGAGGGATAGGGGGGGAGGGAGAGAGGGAGGGATAGGGGGGGGGAGGGAGAGAGGGAGGGATAGGGGGGGAGGGAGGGATAGAGGGAGGGATGGGGGGAGGGAGAGAGGGAGGGATAGGGGGGAGGGAGAGGAAAGGGGAAGGAGAGACAAGGGGATAGAGAAACGGAATAGAAAGGGGGAAAGGGCAAAATATAAGGGGCGAGACAATGTCCTTTCTTCTTCAACACCACTTCAAAGTCACCTACAAGTTGTTTGTCATCCATCATCCATTGAAGCCCTGTTATGGTAAAACAATCAGTCAAAGTGCCAGGAAAGCTAAGGACACACATCAATAGGAAGACACAGGAAAACCAAAGCTTGGCTCAAGGGAGCACTCCTGATGAACTAAATGCTCTGGACGATCAAAGCCTCAAAGTGTATAACGGCGCAGTTTTGTTTTGCTTTCATGTTCTTAATGTTATTTCCCCAGAGGGCATGAAATGATGTGGTAATCTGCGGAGACGGGGCAGAGATGGAGACAGACGCCCTCTGGTTGTCAGATAGGACATGCGTGTTGCGAAACCATGTCTGGGGTGGCACGCCTGCATGCAGACCCCAGCCACAGACACCCTCCACATTGTCTGAGTTAGTGTGTCACCCCAAGGTCCTTTCCGGCATATCACCCATTAGCGTGCTGGACATAATCGTGCTGGATCAATTTGTTATTTGCCAGAGATTCACACAGTCATGAGGTGTGAGTAATTCTGAGTACGGTATACTGTAAGGCCAGGCCCATGTGAGGCTTATGAGGGGCCCATTCCAGCCAGTTCGCCCACTAGTTTCATTTAATTTCTTATCACTGAAAGATCTCAGGCAGCTCAGAACACCTGATCCAATGCCTAAATCCTCATTCTTAAACTAAGCTACTGCATACTGGAGTTCAAAGAGAAAACACCGAGCCAGGGGGAGCACTGTTCTCGCTGTCTTTCTATCTTGCTGTATTTTTAGCTCTTTCTAACACATGCATATACTGACACAACCACGACTCTTCCATACAGTGTGTACAGCCCTGGCATTCTACAATCTCATCCCAAATCTGGCTCATGACCCAGGATTATGCTCTGTGTGGGTCTCATAGCATCTGTGTGTGTGGGCGTGTATATGTGTGTGATGTTCATGCATGTGTGGACTTACTCCAGCCGAAGAAAGGGGGCAGGCTCCATCCCAGTGAGTAGACCCAGGCAGCCATGAGGATGAGCAGGGCTCGTTTCTTGGACAGCACCCCAATGGAAGCCAATGGACGCGTGATCACAAAGTAGCGGTCCACTGCTATCACCATCAGAGTGATCATAGAGCAGATCCCAAATAGAGCCCCGCAGAATGCATACAGCTCACAGCCTAGAAGACACAGAGACAGAGAGAGTACTGTTAATTACTGAGAGAAAAGAAACAGAGTGGGTGAGAAAGAAAGAGAAGGTGAAAGAGAGGGAGAAAGAGATATGTCGGTTGGTGTGTTGTAATGCCCCCTGTGGGTGATAGTCACTCCATAGCCTGGACAATGATCAGCAGCGAACCAGGTCAATCAGAGGGACAGCCTGCAGAGAGAGTGGGCATAGCAGGGGGTAAAACTGACTGACCCCATCTCAGATTCACACCTAACACTCTAACCCTGATGTGACACCCATCCACCTCCACTCTGCAGAGAGCTGAACATTATACCTCAACCAAAACCTCAGTCTCGCAAAATACAGATATTGTGCAACATACTGTATGTATATATGTAATGATAGACCACCAGGGGTCATGCCTTGCCTGGGGTAATACCTTGTGTTAGCGTGGTATGGCAGTAGCCTAAGGCTGTTACACACCCTCAGTGGTGGGTGATGCCAGGAAAGATTTGACGACTGAACTTACCAGAGTAAAAAGGGTTTACCAATGGCAGAACTTGGAATACACAGTACAGCTCCAGTTCTGGCCATTTCAACTGAGCAAAAATATCTAAAGATATGAATACTCTTGAATATATCAATGAAGAAGCAGATTTGGCACAATGATTTCTAATATCAAGCTTGAGACATCTTTAATCACCTAAATTGCAGGTATTGAGTTGTACACGAGTGCTGCCCACCAGGACACAGGAAATACACTTTCCAATTTTTTTTGTTCAGTGAATTTGGACGACAACAATATGGTAGGAGGGCATATGGGGGTTGGGGTTGTCACGGATATATGATCTGAAGATCGCTATGACTTATAAAAATGGATTAGGTTCAATATAAGTCCTCATGATGTCAAAAGGTCTGTATTTCAATCTCAGTCCTCATGATGTCAAAAGGTCTGTATTTCAATAAGCCAAAACTATCTTCCATGCTCATAAACAAAAATCTAGATATTCTAACACTTGGTGCTGTTTATAATAATACAGAATGAGAAGGATAAGGAGAGTCAAGCAGCTGTGCCAGTTAACAAAGACTTCTTCTTTCTCCCACAGCTATTGTGCACTCTTAGAAAAAAAGGTGCTATCTAGAACCTAGAAGGGTTCTTCAGCTGTCCCCATAGGAGAACCCTTTTTGGTACCAGGTAGAAGGCTTTTGGGTTGCACGTAGAACCCTTTCCACAGAGGGTTCTACATGGAACCCAAAAGGGTTCTCCTATCTGAAACCAAAAAGGGTTCTCCTATGGGGACAGCTGAAGAACCCTTTTGGAACCCTTTTTTCTAAGAGTGTAGTGATGTTGTGTGAGATGTTTGCAGAAATAAGTAGCCTTTTTCTGTATCTCTAGGCAACATTTCATTGAGAGTTTTCCATTCATATGTTCTTTAATTCCATGACTATGGTAATAAATAAACCACTTCTTCGCTTTCTCTCTTCTCATAGACTTCTCCCTCTTTCCATCCCTTTTCTGTTCAACGTATTAACCTTGTAAGACACAAGCTCTGCTCAGAGCTCAGTCTGGGTCAATTCCTTCATTCCATCTCCTTCCAGTCAATTATAGGAAACGGACGCAATTCAAAGACTGAATTTGTCCACACAATTATATGCTATTTTCTATGTTTTTTTTGGTTTCAAGTCATTGATTGATTTTTTTTTTTTTTTTATTATTTTTTTTTTTGGGGGGGGGGGGGGGTCTGAGTGGAAAATATTGACCTCAGACGTGTTCGGAGACGGGTGTGGAGTACCTTTCTCTCCGAAGATCCATCTCTTGTGCATGGAGGTGGTGAAGAAGATGGGTGCCTGTGTGAGGCACATCAGGAAGTCTGTGATGGCCAGGTTAATGATGAACATGTTGGCTGGAGTCCTCAGTGACCTGCTCCTGTAGAACACAACACATACAGCACAGGGAAACCCAAGATTTTGTATTCTGATTCAATTTAGTACACACACATAAACACCACCATAATTCTGTAACATTCCCCCTAATGTTAGGTCAGTGTGATCAAATGGTTATTGTACTGTAATTGCATAGTTCCTATTGTTCTGGTGAAGGATGTATTATTGTTGACAACTATTTAGCTATGGAAAGAGTTTGTGCCATCAATTTGTCCAACATGTACCACTTATATCTGATTGTGTGCATTGAAAGTAAAGCACGGCAGAGACGCTAGTTACAGTACATCATGTTTGTGCTCAGGAGGGAGGATAAATACCCTGATCTCTTGACTCTCAATGCTGATCAACAGAGACACTGATAAACAACTGAGACTACAGAGCCACATATGACAGATGGAGGGATAGTGAATCAGTGATGAGATAAACCTAAGCATTAACTGTGCAAGAAACTCCAACAGAATTTTAATTGATCAGATGACCTGCTCTTCTAAAGTGGAGAGAGGGAGAGTATAGTTACAATACCATAGGGAGCAACTGTCCCTTACCTGCTGAAGGCATAGATAACCAGGAAGTTGCCCACCATGCCGGTGATGCCGATAGCCAGGATGACGGCCCCTATAGTGTAATGGGCGTGGTCAGGTACGTCCACAGTGGGGAAGGGGTGACGAGGGGTCTCCTGCACCATGGCCATCTACAGGTCAACCAAAATAACTGCATTTAAACAGGACCCTGTGCAACAGCCTCAGTTGGCATTACTAAATCGTGATAAATTAACCATATCCACGTATTAATGTATGAAGAGAAATTAATAGCATACCCAAAAATGCTGGTAGGTTGTAAGTAATAGGCAGACATCTATTTGTCAGCAATGTTTGCAAATTACTGTACAGTATTGAAATACATTTATTATTGTCCATTGGGGAAATGCTGTCTATATTGAAATGTGCAGGACTGAAACCTACTCATAAATGTGGCAACCCTTTAGACCTGAATAATTACAGAACAATTTCGGTCATCATTCCAATCCACAAACTCTTATCAGCACTTAAAGATGCACTCTCAAACTTTTGTATAATTTCAGCCAGTAGATTTGAAAGTGGTGCTCACGAGCCAAAACAGGTCCCTGCTTTTAGTCATCCAGTCATTTAGCAGACGCTCTTATCCAGAGCGACTTACAGTTAGTGAGTGCATACATTATTATTATTATTATTATTATTATATATATATATTTAAAAAATCATACCTTCCCCCCGTGGGAATCGAACCCACAACCCTGGCGTTGCAAACGCCATGCTCTACCAACTGAGCTACATCCCTGCCGGCCATTCCCTCCCCTACCCTGGACGACGCTGGGCCAATTGTGCGCCGCCCCATGGGTCTCCCGGTTGCGGCCGGCTACGACAGAGCCTGGATACGAACCAGGATCTCTAGTGGCACAGCTAGCACTGCATTTCTTGTGATATGTTACGAATTTAGCAGTTTGTATGATATATGAATTTTGCAATTCGTGTGATATCTTAAGAATCCAATTTGTGCAATATGTTACAAATCTCTTGTGCTTAAGATCTCAGAGTGCATTTTTAACACATTAGGACCAAACACAACTCCTTAGCTTCAGGACTTCGCATGCATTGACTAAATAAATTATAATTGTGAAAAAAAGATCTGCATGCAAATAAGTCAGTGCTTACTGCAGCCACATCAAATCGGACACATATACACGCCTCTCTTCTAACTAACTTTGACATGTTGCAAAATGATCTTTCACAAATAATTGGGTTTTAAATTAAGTCCTTTGTGAAGGATCAAACGTTTCATCCCGTCTCATTCTAATTCTTAATCCTTCGATTCCTGTTGGCTTTTCAAAAATAAACTAACCAATAAACTTGTTTCCCCTCTGGTTTGTAGTCTTTTAAAACAAGGATTTAGTTTCTTATTTTTGTTCTTGAAACCTGCCCCCGGAATCCTTGCAGGATAGAGCAATTATAAAATGCCTGCCTGCACACTTGCATAAGCCCATTTGATAGTCATTAGGATAGGACGTACCCAGGAAATGTGATCCCAGGGGGCCAAACAACTGGGGGGAAGCTGTACACATTCAACACATGACTGGACTGAGACCAGAATCCTCCTTTGAGATTTGCATGAGTTTACTTATAAGTTTATCTTACCCAAAGACCATCAGAAGCCACATGGAGGATATCAAGTTATGATTTTATTCTGTCTGCCAATCTTTTCCATAGGATCAATTCATTAAGTTCATGTTTTGCTGATTCAATTATCAAGTTCATGAGCTGGTTAAGTGGACATAAAGTGATCAACTGTTCTGTTAAACTAATTGTATATTTTCTCTATAATTATTATTACAATGAACATAATGTACAAATTAGTTTGTTATGAGACAAGCATGGGTATTCAACAAACCATCATAAACTGAGGGCTCAATATAAACAATCAATACTCTACTGGTGACTGTCTCTGAGAAAACAGAGGGATCAATGTCCAGTGGAATAGGCAAAAATCTGTTGATGGCAGGGTCAGCAAAAATTTAGATGGGACAAAATTGAGGCACTCAAATCATCATTAAATGATCGTAAAAGACCAAATAGTCCTGTAGGCCTACATAAATCAATGATTCTTGCATTTAACATGCGACATAGACTTACCCATAATAAACCATAAGCCTATAGCTTAATTAATAGACTATGAGACTAGAACAGAATGCCATGATATGACAGTAATAATCACAATACGCTTGGCAACCTCTCAGATCACTGGCTCAACAACCAGGCGATAGTAGGCTAGGCTAGGTGGCCACAAATGTAACCATTTAATCACTGGCACGGAGGCCAATCAAAGTAGGTTGCATTAGGTTACACGCTACATATTAACCCAATGAGTCGCGCCAGCGTGAATTAGGTATTCTAACCCCCTTTAAACAGTGTGTGTTTGAGCTACATACTTCTGGGTTGTACCATTGCATTTGTCTTTTTCTTCTGCATCCGTTGGTACCAACCATTAGTCTGTGATTAACGGAGGCTGAGCTAGAGCGGTGTTTCCCTTACGAAAGAAGATTGCAGTCAGAGTGCAGTATAACTGCAGTATGCTGCAAATACTGCATCCAAAATAAAACTGTTTTATTTTACTGCAGTAATTTTGCACTGTAACTGCAGTTAGAGTGCAATTACTGTGTCCAAAATACCACAGTTGACTGCAGTTACTACAATTTTACTGCAGTTTCAAAACTGCAATCTTTTTTTGTGAGGGGCCAAGGACCAGGTCTTTTTTACAAAAACATCTGTAGATTCAGAATGGTTTGAGCTACAAACTATTAAAAAGTGGAGACTCTATGATGCTCACAAGCTGCACAAGATGGCGTTAGAAGGTAATTGGTGTCTATAATATTGAAATAAACTCACATAGTTGCTGTCACAAACTCCAAACTCCACACTGTTGTCACTGACTAGTTGGATATTAATTTCCCACTGAGCAAACAATTCCTGTACTTGCAGCATTCATATAAATTCATTTTTATCAGGTTTTTACTTTGGCGGACCTTATTTTTTTAACGACATTTGTCAAAACCCATGAATGCAACTGTTTTATGTTTTCCTTGTAGGCCTGCTTGTCCTGAAAAGAACATGATGAAACACTTCATAGTGAGGCTAAATATAAGGACTGGACATGCAGATAAATGAAAGTTAGAAAAGGGTTAAACACCATCCCAGGAAACATAAATTACAACAGTATGCTAATACACATAACAATAGGCCATATTATAGCCTACAGTGCCTTCGGAAAGTATTCAGACCCCTTGACCTTTTCCACATTTTGTTAGGTTACGGCCTTATTCTAAAATGTATTATAAAAAAAGTATTCCCTCATCAATATACACACATTACCCCTTAATGACAAAGCAAAAACTGATTTTTCAAAATTGTTGCTAATTTCTTACAAATAAAAAACAGAAATATAATAATTACAAAAGTATTCAGACCCTTTACTCAGTACTTTATTGAAGCCCCTTTGGCAGCGATTACAGCCTTGAGTCTTCTTGGTTATGACGCTACAAGCTTGGCACACCTGTATTTGGGGAGTTTCTCCCATTCTTCTCTGCAGATCCTCTCAAGCTCTGTCAGGTTGGATGTGGAGCGTCGCTGCACAGCTATTTTCAGGTCTCCCCAGAGATGTTCAATCGGGTTCAAGTCCGGGCTCTGGCTGGGCCACAAGGACATTCAGAGACTTGTCCTGAAGCCACTTGTGTGTTGTCTTGGCTGTGTGCTTAGGGTCATTGTCCTGTTGGAAGGTGAACCTTCGCCCCAGTCTGAGGTCCTGAGCGCTCTGGAGCAGGTTTTCATCAAGGATCTCTCTGTACTTTGCTCCGTTCATCTTTCCCTCGATCCTGACTAGTCTCCCAATCCCTGGCTAGCTGAAAAACATCCCCACAACATGATGCTGCCACCACCATGCTTCACCATAGGGATGGTGCCAGGTTTCCTCCAGACGTGACGCTTGGCATTCAGGCCAAAGAGTTCAATCTTGGTTTCATCAGACCAGAGAATCTTGTTTCTCATGGTCTGAGAGTCTTTAGGTGCCTTTTGGCAAACTCCAAGCGGGTAGTCATGTGCCTTTTACTGAGGGGTGGCTTCCGTCTGGCCACTCTACCATAAAGGCCTGATTGGTGGAGGGCTGCAGAGATGGTTGTCCTTCTGGAAGGTTCTCCCATCTCTACAGAAGAACTTTGGAGCTCTGTCAGAGTGACCATCAGTTTCTTGGTCACTTCCCTGGCCAAGGCCCTTCTCCCCCAATTGCTCAGTTTGGCCGGGCGTCCAGCTCTAGGAAGAGTCTTGGTGGTTCCAAACTTCTTCCATTTAAGAATGATGGAGGCCACTGTGTTCTTGGGGACTGTCACGATCGTCGGTGAGAGATGAGGACCAAGGCGCAGCGTTGAATGTGAACATATTTATTTAATTCGATGATCACACGATCAAAACAACAAAACGATGACGTGACAGTCAATGGTCATACACAAACCAAATACGAACAAGAAACCACAAATAATGAATGCCTAACGGCTACCTAAGTATGACTCCCAATCAGAGACAACGAGCTACAGCCGTCTCTGATTGGGAGCCACCCTGGCCAACATAGATATACAACAACTAGAACATAAACAAATGAAAACTCACACCCTGGCTCAACATACTAGAGTCCCCAGAGCCAGGGCGTGACAGGGACCTTCAATGCTGCAGAAATATTTTGGTACCCTTCCCCAGATCTGTGCCTTGACACAATCCTGTCTCTGAGGTCTACGGACAATTCCTTCGACCTCATGGCTTGGTTTTTGCTCTGACATGCACTGTCAACTGTGGGACCTTATATAGACATGTGTGTGCCTTTCCAAACCATGTCCAATCAATTGAATTTACCAAAGGTGGACTCTAATTTTTACATTTTAGTCATTTAGCAGACGCTCTTATCCAGAGCGACTTACAGTTAGTGAGTGCATACATTTTCATACTGGCCCCCCATGGGAAATGAACCCACAACCCTGGCGTTGCAAGTGCCATGCTCTACCAACTGAGCTACAGAAGACTAATCAAGTTGTAGAAACATCTCAAGGATGATCATTGGAAACAGGATGCACCTGAGCTACATTTCGAGTCTCGTAGCAAAGGATCTGAATACTTA